TCATTTGAACCAAATACTCAAAAGAAGTTGAAGAGAAGAATTTTCACGCGGCCTTGAAATGAATCCTGATCACAAGCAACATGAAGAATGAATGGAACCCAAGAAGGGATTAACAACTTCGATGATAATAAATGGAGCAACAGCAGAAAAAAAAAACGAACCACAAGAGAAATATCGGATACATGAACTTCATCAAGTGACCATTTCCCGAACAGTTTCACCTCAGGCAACTCAGCCTGTCCCATTGGTTCGTCCATGACTACCATTTCATTGCTCTCTGTCACCCATTCCTCAGCCATATTTTCTGATTCCTTTATATTATTACCAACTTACCCTCTACTTCTGAAAAATTTGTTAACAATACATCAGTTTCTTACAAACAGCGTAAGTAGAGCTTAGATCTCGAAAAGACATAAATACATAGCGAACAATGGGAAAGTGAACATAAATATGGTGAAACATAAAAAAAGATCGAGCAGAATGTTTACGAATACAATTGAACATTTCTGATGAACTGACGACTCGAGGATGACGATTTTTGTTCAAATGGTGGCAACTCAAATGGTGGCAAGAACTCAAATAGTGGTAACTTGATTTCGAAGAAAGCTTCAATAACGAAATGCTTCAGAATAAAGGAAACATAAAATGATTAACTCAACGACTCTAGATGAACATACTAAAAAGAACTGAGAAACGAAGTGTTAGGAAAAAATATACAAGAAATACTAATGAACGAAAAGTTTTCAAGAATGAATAAACGTCACAAATACTGAACAAATACCTCGAAAAAATAAAGAATACGATAAAGTAAAATAACCAGACGGACACTGATGGAGATGAATAAAATGAAGACAACTTTATATTCGAAACATCCTCAAAACTGATAAGTTTACTGATTATTCGGTGAATATTTTTAGGCAGATGACTGCTGTAGAAAATTTAACTGCATGATGTTCGCGAAAAACGCATAATATATAATTTTATGTGGTGCAAAGCAATTGCTCGAATGCAAGAAATACCTAAACCATCACTTATTTCAAATCAAAATCATGCCTTCACAGGTAATTTCTTCACACATCTCTCATCGATTAATACTGAAACCTCACAGAGTTTTGTATTAGGGAAGGTTATGTGGTCGTGTTACGCCAATTTTAACACTTCGCAAAATTAACAGAGTAACGCTGCTCCACGCTCTATCGAGAAACTATTCTACGATTCAAAAACTCCTTTGGAATGAATGAGTTGAATGAGCGGTACTGAACGAAGCAAGGTTGACAGCACGAAAT